CAACACTGTATGTTTTAAGTACTGTAAAAGAAGATACAATATTTTCCATAGATGTGTTAGTAAATATGATTGACCGTGTTTTCTTTGTTTCCACAGCAGTGAGAACAGTGTGATTCATGCTGACACGGTTTACAGATTTACAGAAGGAGACATCAAGACGCGCAGTGGTTTGCTCAATGCAATCTTCATTACCAGCGGTATGATCAACATACTGTACAGTATAGTCCTGCAGTATTCCAAGAGTATTATTAGATTCAATTGGATATCAATTAACAGAAATGAAATCTTATTTTGTTTCGGGGGGAGTTTTTCTGATGTTTTTCTATATTTAAACACATACAGTCCATTCTTTTTTAAAATGTGTTTCATAAGAAGGGAAAGACAAATGGCTTAATCTTTCCTCGTTAATTCATGGTCTCATTTATTAAGGTTCAGGGCTGGACTGAGTGGTTCAGTATAACTCTCTTGGTGTTAGCACTGAAAAGATGAGCAGAATCAGAAAGTCTCTGACTGTCTTCACTCTTGTTTGTGCACAAATGCAGGCCTTCCAGACACAACAACTGCACCTCCTACGACACTCCCACCAACTTCAGCTCCCGCTGCACCGTAAGTCCCACACAGAGGAAATGAAGCTCTTTTTACATCAGCCGCTGATATTTTCTTTCAGCGAGAGTGGTCATATCTCAGCAATTCTGATGAGAAGTGAAAATGATACATCTAATCTCAGTGTTCTGCATCTGTCTTTGTCATCACAGAAAGAGGTCAGTGATGGCTGGACTAAGACTGGAGTTCAACACCACAAACCAAACTCTCAGTGCAACTGCGATAGTCAAACAATTCACTGCCTTCCTGGCTCCTTATACATCTCTGGGAGTCTACACAATCAACATCACCAATATCACTTACTACAGTAAGTTTCTGTTTCCAATAAGGATTGACTTTAGCATTCTTTTTAATACAAGGTCTTGGGGTAATTTAACTGTATTTTGTACTAAACTCTTTGTTGTCACACTTTACAGACACAACAGCGAGCTTCTTTGCTGTCAATATCAACTTCGTCTTCAGCAACCTGACCGTTCCAGGAGGAGCTAATTTAACCAATGAGACTTACAGCACAATCCAGAACAGCATGAATGAGCTGGTGAGACTTTCATATCCACAGAATTCAAAGTAGAAATATCAGAAAATACTGCATTATTTATTAATGAATCATCTTTATGAAATAGTGAGAATTATGATGGAATTTATTTCATTGTTATTATATTGGCAATCAAGAGATTTAACAACTTTGTTAAATGAAATCCCATATATCTTCAATATATTAGAATACTCTGTTTTTTAAATGGAGTTTCAGACCCTTATGTGATGTTTTGTTCATTTCTTCTTTTATTCTTTCCAGCTTCTTATAATTCTTGGAACGCCAAACTACAAGCAATTCACCTTCCCCCGTGTCAATGTCATGTGAGTGAATTTATACATCTCTGTGCATTACTATTTCGAAGAATTCTGATATGTAAATTTTAATGCCTATACTCTTGCAAAAAAATCTCTCTTTAAATTCTCTTCCATGAATTCTCAACATGTCTGCTTTTGGTTGCATCCTTAATTTATGTATCTGGTCTGTAACACTGCAAGTTTAAGATGGTACTGTATGTCTTATTGACAAACTTCAGAAATAATTCATTAGTATTTCTTTGTTTCCACAGCAGTATGAGCAGTGTAATTCATGCCAATACGGTGTACAGATTTACAGAAGGCGACATTGAAATGCGCAGTAGTCTGCTGAATGACATTTTCATCACCAGTGGTATGCCAAAAAATATTTTCTCTTGTGTTAGTTAATTGCTATCGAAATTGTCTCCATTCATGTGCATAAATGAACTACTATTTTGTGACTGCTTCTCCCTGAAATGATAGTCAAAGTTATTTATTGTTTCCAGCTTTATATCTCATTCATAAGTGTTCTGGGATAAACTGACTGTTTCTGTTGATCTCTCTGTTTTGTGTGCTCTGAATGGATGATATGGAAATTCTATTTTTGACTCTTCTCACTCTTGTTATTGTATATCAACATTTGCACCTCATACTACTATCTTAAGATCTACAGCTTCATATGAACATTCTAAGCAATTTGAGTACATGCAGTGTTACTTTAATTGATGTGGTTTTTAATCTACAGCTTATTAATAAACTTGTCCATCTTGCAGACATGCAGATTCATGCAGACTTGAGTCTAATTACAGTGACAATTTCAGTTTTTCAAAATGCTGCACAAGATGTCTTTTACACATTGTAGACTGAATTCTCTCTTCTCTTTCCCAATGTAGCTCAGCCATCTCCAACTACACTGGCTCCCCTTATAAGGCAAGTCCAAGGTTTCAGAACACATTTTGAGGAGGTGGCACAGCGGTGCAGTGGTTAGCTCTCTTTCCTCACGGTGTTGGGACCCTAGGTTCAGCTCTTGGGTGCCATCTGTATAGTGTTTGTATGTTCTCAGGCTTTTCTTTTGGGTTTCCTCCCACAGTCCAGTGATATACAGTACTGGTAGGTTAATTAGCTTTTGAGAACACTGGCGTGGTGTGAATGTCTGTGTATGCCCTGCAATGGATTGGCATCTTGTCCAGGGTTTACCTTGTGGCTGTTGCTTGTTGGTTTAAGCTCTGACTGCCCCCCACAACCATGTATTGGATAAAGGAGTTAGAAAACAGATGGATGGATAAATGTTGGGGTCCCTTTCTTCATTATCAGCTGAGAATATGTGCTAGAGAATGTTATTCATGCCCCTTTGAGCAAAGATAACCTTTAAGCCGAATTGCGTATCAATGAAAGAAACCCCCTTTCATGAGATCATTGAACCTTTGAACCTCACATTTGGAACTTAGTCCTTTTTGAATTTGACATTTGATCCTCACAATCTCCAGAAACATGTTCACTTGAAAAGGCTGAGAGAAAGATAGAGGTGAATCTGCTGTTGGGGTGGTCTGCAGTGAAGCAGTTGAAAGACACCGAAAACCGAAGGACGTCAGTTGCTTTATTTTAAACTGTGCTTGCAGCATGGTGTAAAAGAATGATTAAATAATTAGATGTTTGTCATTTCAGAAATGGGAGGGCACTTCTGTTCATCAGACTGGAGTTCAACACCACAAAGCCAGCTCCTTCTGAGGCGCAGGTGTTGCAAATAGCTAATCAATTCATTGTCAATGCCTTTAAGTCACGGGAAACATACCAAGTGACATTTGGAAATGTGTCCTATGAGAGTAAGTGAATGATAAGATCTTGACATGTGACATAAACCTTTATCTGATGCAACTCTGATAATTTAGGATGAAATATGACATTACAAATTTTACATCAATGACAATCGTTTATGATAGGACAAGAATGTAGCACAAGGAAGTTCATAGTACAGTTAGTCCACGTGAGTGACGGTACTTGAACACAGAATCTCCTCACTGTTATGTGATCCACTGAGTATCATAGGTTGTTCATTTATAATAATGTCTCTGTTCCTGTTGTGATTCCTCTCTAAGAATGCAAAAACTCTTGTGTCCTCAGAAATGTTCGCAATATGTGATATTAGTATTACCCACACAATACACTCGGTATTACTTAAGCTGCCCATCTTTGATCAAAGGACATATTGTAATAGTGCCCATGTTTTAATTCTCCTTTTGCCTTTCCTTTCAGGGATGAGTGCAAATTCATTTGCCATCATTCTGGGATTCAGTATTGCAAACCTGCCTGTTACAGATACCTTTCAATTTAGAAACGAAACGTACACTGAAGTTGAAAGCGCTGTGAACTCCTTGGTGAGAATTTTACTCATCACTGTTCAAGAAGTGCTTGGATGTGATTTTTGACCCAAATAAGCACTTGTAATCAAACAAGCTAAAGCAGTTCAAGTAGATAGCTGCATCAGCATGCGTAAGCTGCAAAGGAACAAGTAAAGGTTTATTCTTTGCTAGAAAGAGAAGAAAAGAAACACAACATTTTGGGTGTGGAGCCTTCTTCAAGTGTGAAGAAGAAGGCTCCACAACTGAAATGTTGTGTTTCCTCTCTTCTCTTTTCAGCAAGGAATAAACCTTTACTTGTTCCTCATCAAGCAAGCTACTGTAGATGGGGCAAATAGACTGCTCTTGTTTGTAACCTTTCTTATGTTCTTATTTTGATATATATAAGAAACAATTAGAGGTTAACTTCATGCTGAAAAGCAGAAAGAAAAAGGATTTGACTGGTAAACCTTCTTCAGGTGTAAAGAACAATTATACTATATACTTATAGAAGGTAATAAGTTGTGGGTTTGAGACAGGCTTGGGGAGTCATCCTTGTGATGGACCAAACTAGGGCAGATGTCAAATGCTCTGCAGTGCACTTAACACTACAGAAACCAAGATGAGCTCTGGCCCAGTGAGCTGCTATGGTTCTGGTGCGGACTTTACCTTTATATATTTAACTTTATATACTGTATATATTGCATAATATAAAAATTATATTTTTATGTTTTCTTATGAATATAACCTTTCTGTCAACTGAAACTGGTATCAGATACCTGGCTTTGTGTTTTACACTGATACCAATACTCATTTCTGGTGTCATCTGGAATTCATAAGGCTCTTGGCTCTGCTTTGTCTTCCAGTTGAGCAACATCCTCGGGCAACCAAATTCCACCCTGTTCAAGTTCCCTTCCATCGATTTCAGGTGAGTCCCTTTTAGCTGGCTTTCCCCATTTAAGCACTTGGTAAAGACGCTGCCAGGTCATACAGATGACTCAAGGACAAATGTGGCCATCATGAGTGACTAGCTGCATGTCTGCTTTGTTTCCCACAGAAATGTGAGCAGTGTGATTCGTGCCAGTGTGGTGTATCAATTCAAAGATGGAGACATCTCAGGGCCCAGTGGTTTCCTGAATAGTATCCTCATTCTCAGTGGTAGGATCATCCAGTCCTTATTCATTACAACTTTATTTTAGGAGATATGATTGTACTGTTTTCCATCCCTGCTTCAGAATGATTTTTCTAACTGGTGAAAATGAGAAATGAATGAGAAATGAATAATCAATCTGAAGCATTATTAGAAAAACTGTTGGGACATAGTTATAAATGCCTGTTAAGTCATTCAAGCATTTTAATCCAAAATGAAATCTGTAATATGCTTAACAACCTTTGCCTTTTTCTAAACAATTTTACTTTCCAAAACAAACTAGAAAGAGTCAAACTATATGGAAGTGTGTTCAACCAGGCCCCCTGTGTACCTAAAAACTAAAATAATAATAGCACAAAAAAGAAAGAAAGGAGAAAATGCACTGCTGTATTCTGCCGAGTATGTTGATGAATATTCTGTATCGATGATTCCCAGAACATTTCTAGTTATCATTTTCCTGTTTATCTGTGAAACAATTAATAGTGAAATTAATTTTATATTTTGAATTGTTTTCTTAAGCAATTAAAATAATCCAATGTCTTTCTTCATGAATATGTACAGTACGATATATGGAAAAACAATATTGATTAATTCCTGCACAGTTTGAACTCAGCTTCTAACTCTACTATATTGCTGTGTAAAAACATGTCCAAAACATTACAGTACTATGATGCATTCAAATCTACCAAATGACTTTGAATTGACATGCAATTTTGATACACCTCAGTATAAATGTAACTTTTTTGCTGGAAATGGAGAAATAAGATAAATCTCCAATAAAACTCCTTAACAGAAACAACTGTAGCTCTTCTTCAAATTCACACAATTGCTTCAACAATATGGTGTTATTTGATAGACAAAACAATACAGACTTTGGACTTTAGACATCAAGCAACTGCACTAAGAGCACCGAGATCTTTAATGAACTGTTCTCTTCTGCGTGCAGGTGACCTAACTACAACAGTAGCTCCCAGTCCCACTGTCCTCCTGACCTCATTAACAGCCACCACAGCCAGTAAAGGGGGTTTCCCAGGCTGGGCCCTGGCTATCATCATCCCCTGTGGGATTGCAATTATCCTGGTTCCCCTTTGGATCCTTTTGTGTGTAAGTAAAACTCTGAGTTAGATATAGACAGAGCTGTGCTTGTCTCTGTATTACAGTGTGTGCTGTGTCAGTGAGCTGTGCTTGTCTCTGTTTTACAAAGTGTGCTGTGTCAGTGAGCAGTGTTTGTCTCTGTATTACAGTG